TGAGCCATTACCTGCTGCTTTCCAGAGTGCCCATTAGCAGGGAGTTGGAAGTGAGCATGGAGCTGGCATTCCAAGTGGCAGTTTGACCACTGTGCCACAATGTCCACTCCCTCAACCCCTCTGCTAGCTGTTTTCGAGATGGAGCACTATATTAAGCATTTAATATAGGTTTAGGTTTCATCCTCCTAGTAATCTATGAAGCAGTTACTATTATCCCATTTGTTGGGTGAGAAATTAAAACTCAGAGGGACCAGCGACTGCCCAAGGTTATACAATAGGAAGTAGGACTAGAACTCAGGTGTGTAATAATAACACAGTGAGTGAAAGCTGTCGTCATTTACTGATCATTAAGCAGATGTCAGGAGCTACTCCTAAAAAGAAGTATTTAAATGTAATTTGAGGTCAGTGACACTACGCTTTTAACACTCACCATAACCCTTTGAAGAAGGTACTGTTATTCCCATTTCACAGGTGAGGAATTGAGTTGGAGGGAATAAGTTACATCTCCATGGCCTACAAACAGGAAGAGACACAGCTAGGATCTGAATACAGGTGTCCTAGATGCCAAGATCTACTTCCTTAATCCTGAGATTTTGTTGACTCCTGTCCATCCCTGCTGTGCATCCAAACTGTGGGGTCCAGGCTAAGAGCCAGCACCACTCGAGAGTTTGTTGTAAATGCAGAATCCTCCTTACCAAATCCCAAGTGTGTTTTAACCAAATCCCAAGTGGTTGATTCAAGTTTGATAAGCACTGTTCTGTACAGTGCCAGTGTTCCACAGACTAGACAGAGAACTGGATTGTCTCGAGCAGGGAATCCTAAACATTTGCCCTTAGAAATCAGTACTGAGCTGGCACTAGTTATGTTTTTGCTAGATTTAGTACGGCTGATCTTTTTCCAATTCATGGTAGAAAGCAAGTGATTCTTCTCATCTTCCACAATTTTTCCTCTTTTTCTGGGAGATTAATAGCACCTGTTAGAGACTTGAAGAGATCACAACTGAATAAGAATTAAAGAAATGCTTGGGTGTGGGAAGGATGTTTGGCACAGCAGTTAGCACCCTGCTTGGGATGTCTGCATTCCTGGGTGGAGCCCCTGGGTTAGAGTCCCATCTTCACCCCTGCTTCCTGCTCAAGCACGGCTTGGGAGGCAGCAGACTTCGTTATTTGGGGATTTGCCAGAATCAATTCCTGGCTCTCCTTGGTTGAGGCCTGGCCCAGTCTCAGCTGTTGGGAGCATTTAGGGAACTGAAACCAGCAGATGGACGTCTCTGGCTGCTTTTCCAATAATAAATGAATAAATAAAATGCCTATGGAAAACTCAGAAATGCATAATTGTATTTTCTGTAAATTCTTAGAATTGTGATTGTAATTTTATGTTGCTTAATAGAAGGTAATGATGCTGTTAGCAGACATATTTTTTATTCTCATGGAAGAATTAAATGTTAATAGTCTTCATTTTAAAGGCAGAGTTACAGAGAGAGGGGAAAGTCAGAGACAGATATCTTCCATTCTCCCATCTGGGTAGCATGGGACCCAGTCCCACTGCCTTCACGTTAGCAGAGAGCTGGATAGGCAGTGAAAGAGCCAGGACTGGAACTGGTGCTTAAATGAGAAGCTGTTGTCACGGTGGCTGCTTAACTTGCTGTGCCATATGCCAATCCCAAATGTTCATAATTTTTGGTGTTCTACCTGATGTGTACCTGCATGAACAGGAGAATGAGGTTTCTGAATTATCTAGAACTCATCCGAATCGCTAGGATGCCGATTAAGACCCACATCCGGTGTTGATATTTGCCTCTGGCTCCCAACTTCGGCTTACTGTTGATGCAGAGCCCGGGAGACAGCAGCGATGGTTCTAGCAGTTGCACTCCCAGCACCACATGGGAGACTTGGATTGTGGTCCTAGCTTCTGCCTTTGGCTTCATCCAGTCCCAGCTATTACAAGCATCTGTGGAGTAAAGTAGCAGATGGGAACTCCCTCTCTCCCTCTTTCATTCTCTTTTTCTGGATCTGCCAAATATTTAAGTGTCATCTAACTAGAGTAACTCATAATAGAAAAGCAAAGTTAATTTAATGTATTTCTCATACATTTATCTCCCTCCGATAGTAGCATCAACAGAGCCAGCACTTGAACTCAGACACTCTAATATGGAATGCAGGCTTCTTAAGTGGCACTTCAACTGTTGGGACAAATGCCCACTCTCCTATCTGAACTTTTAGTGATGTATTAAGGAAGGACCCAAGGCATATCTGTGTTCATCAATTGCTTGATTCTCCTAAGTTTCAGGGAATATTTTCCAATTTAAACCCTCTCACTTCACATATGCCCACAATGGTCTCCAACAGGGCCAAAGGCAAGAGCTGAGATCTCAACTGGGGTCTCCCACAGAGCTGGCAGGACCCCCTTCACATAAGCCCTCTCTGCTGTCTCTCAGTTGGCATTAGTCAGGAACCCGAGCCAGAGAGCAAACCCCAGTGTCCCTATATGGCACGCAAGCTTAAAATGCCTAAAGGTCCACTGATAAAGTTGTTATCTAGTAAAACGTTGCAATTCACGGAGTAGTATATTATATAGTTAAAAAGAATGAGGTGGGCCCGGCAAGGTGGCCCAGCAGCTAAAGTCCTCACCTTGAATGTGTCGGGATCCCATATGGGCACTGGTTCTAATCCCGGTGGCCCCGCTTCCCATCCAGCTCCCTGCTTGTGACCTGGGAAAGCAGTCGAGGACGGCTCAAAGCCTTGGGTTCCTGCACCCACTTGGGAGACCTGAAAGAAAGTTCCTGGCTCCTGGCTTCAGATTGGTGCAGCACCAGCCATTGTGGTCACTTGGGGAGTGAGTCATTGGATGGAAGATCTTCTCTGTTTCTCCTCTCTGTATATCTCTGACCTTACAATAAAAAAGATAAATAAATCTTTTTAAAAAATGAGGCAATTTTTTATGTTCTGATATGAGAGCCTTCAAAGTTCTGAGCATGAGTAGTATGCTACCATTTGTGTTTAAAATACACACACACATCTGTATCTGCTACAAAAATTGCCCTTTGGAAATCAGGTGATAAAGAGGCTAGAAAATGTAAGAAAGCTTCGTATTTCCTCATGTACCCTTCCTGCCATTTGAATTTCATACTACATTCTTGTATTTCTCTTTTTAAAAATAAAGCACAATAAATCATTTCCAGTTGTTTGAGTTTTTATTTGAAAGGCAGAGTGATGTGTGAGAGAGGAAGAGACACAAAGAGATTTTCCATAGTTCACTCTCCAAGTAATTGCAGCAGCAGGGGCTGGTCCAGGCTGAAGCCAGGAGCTCGGCGCTCCATCTGGGTCTCCCAGGTTGGGGGCAGGGGCAGCAGCCTTGGGACCATCATCCACTACCCCCTAGGTAGGTGAACAGGAAGCTGTCTCAGAAGGAGCTGGGACTCAAGCTGTCACTCCAACATGGCATCCCAAACAGTGGCTTAGTCAGTTGTGCCACAGTATCCACCCACCTGAACCAAGCTGGGTTCCTGACCTCTACTTGAGATCAGGTCCTCTCTAGCAACTTCTACCTATTCCACATTTTTGTTGCTTCTTCAAGATACATTCCTTTTCTGAACAACTCCAGCCTGTGCGCTCACTCATCTCTGCTCCTTCACTGCAAACCACCATGTGGCAAATCATCGCAGACTGCTTTGTGGCAGCTCTTCTATGTTTAAAAATAATCTCTGCCATCTTGTATTAAAATTCCCATGTTGTATTTGCATGTGTTTAACTGCTCCTTGTGTGGGTTGCTTGGGAGGAATATAACCTTGTAAAGGTAAGGGATGGAGGTCGGGAGTGGCAAGCCGTGTGAGAATCCTTCCTTACAGGCAACTGTTAACAACGTGGAGATTTGTGTGCGTTAGCGACTCCTTCTGACAAAAGGCAAAAGCCCCCAGAAAGCCAAGTCCTACAAGCTCTCAGAGAATTATTTCAAACATCACTTGCACCCCTTAGCTATAGGGCCCCTGCCCCGGAGACGGAGACGAGATGAGAGATGGAAGTCAGGTTTCTGAGGCAGCCATCACAAGGTTTTAGAACCCCCGAAGGGCTTAGAGATCAACTCATCTAAACTTTCACTTTGTAGATAAGGAACTAGGGGCCCTACCCCGGGGGTGACAAGGCAAGGAGCTGGGGCAGTCCAGACCCCAACTCACACATCTCCTAATTGCAGTTGAGGAACAGGAAGAGGTCCGGTGAACCTCCAAGATGGGTTCTCCCTGTAGACAGAAAGGCTGGTGTGGGGCAGGAGGCAAACAGGGATGGGGAGCCTCGAACCCCAGGTTTGTGTCCCTCGGTACTTGTGCTCAGGGGCCCAGGAGTCAGTGCGCGTGCTAGGCGTGTACATCAGCAGGAGCCGAGTTAATCACACATGGTTTGTTCGGCTACAAACCTCAACTTCCCCTTACCCAGCCCTGTCTTCTTCCTTCAAGTACCCAGCTCCACTCTGCTATAAAGTTCCTATCCGCCCTTTCACACCACTCCCCTCTCCACATATAGACTCATCCAGGCAGAATAGGGGAGGAGCGTGGGGTGCGGTGGGGGCGCAAGACAAAGAAGACTTTCTTATTTCCAGCCAATTCCCCAGGTTCTACTGTATTGGGAAAGGGAGACAGCCACTCCTGGTAACCATCGCGATCATACTTCCTTCCTTTTCTTTGTTATTAAAATCTTCTGCTCTGATTACGGTCAGGCACCCCACTTCTGCGCACGAATTCTGCAGAATCCCTCTACTCCCGAATACTCTTGAAGGAAGAAGGATACACTTTCTCAAGTGAGAATAGCATGTAACCACAAGCACGGGTTAGGTTTTCACCCAAGGTGTGCTGAGGGTAGCCAGTCCCTTCCAATCACAGACGCCTGGTCCACCGCCTCCGCCTCTGGTTTCCGGCCCGGCCCGACTACAAGTCCCAGGAGGCCCTGCGGGGACTGCGTCCCCTTGTCATCCTTCCCTCACGCTCCTAGAGAGGGGGTGAGGAAGGTTCCGATCGCGGCGCACTGCGGGTTGGTTTGTTTGCCTCGGCCGTGACGGATGGTGGAAGCTCGGCCGACTGCAGGCGGGGGCGTCTGGAGGCGGATTCCTCCTCCCTAAAGCCCTGGGGGGCGGGGAGGAGGGAGGCCGGGCCAGTGGCTGGGGATCGAGCCGCAAAGACTGAGCGCGCGGAGGAGATGGAGGGCGACGGGGTGCCGTGGGGCGGCGAGCCCGTGTCGGGTCCCGGCCCCGGCGGCGGCGGAATGATCCGCGAGCTGATCCGGGGCTTCGGTCGCTACCGCCGCTACCTGGGTCGGCTGAGGCAGAACCTGCGCGAGACCCAGAAGTTCTTCCGCGACATCAAGTGCTCCCACAACCACAGTTGTCCCTCCTCCCCCACGGGCGGCGGGGCCGAGCCTGGCCCTGCCGGCGATGTCGCCGAAACCGGGCTGCCGGCTGGTAAGGCGGGCAGGCCCGAGGCGGAGAGGGCAGGGCCGGCCAAGTGGAGGGAGGACTGCGCCCATGCCCACGCCAAACAACCCGCGAAGACGCGGAAAGTGGGCGCCCGGACCTGGTCTGCCGGGACCCGGGGTGTCGTGAGAGGGCATCCCCGTGGGCGGGGGCCTGGGGAGCCGCCGGGAGCTCGTCATGGAGCCGGCGCGAGGATCGCCCGAGCGCGGGAGCTCAGGAGCAGGGCCCGGCCCCGGCTGTGCGCGCGGGGCACTGGGCAGGGCCGGGGTCCTCCACGCCCGAGGAGTGGGGAAAGGTGCTGGGGTTTGGGGGTCGAGTGGGCCCGAGCTGCGGTTCTCGGGTGGCAGGTGGAGGATGGAGGAGAGCGGTGTGCAGGAGTCCCTGGCTGGAGTGGGGGCGTGTGTCGATGAAGTGTGCGCAGAGATCTGGTGAAGAAGTTGGAGAGGGAAGGGATGGGGGATCACGCTGTCTTTAACCTTCTCCAACTTCATGTTTCCTTGTCAACAAACTGCCACTGGTAGGGGATTGGAGAAGAGTTTAAGTAGCGCGCCTTAATGAGAAAATCGATTGGATGGGAGGAAGCATTGGCATCCCAGAGGGGTGTTTAGTCTAGGGACACCATTGTGAAGAAGGCTGTGGGTTTACCGTTCTGATCCTCAGAAAAAAGTGGGCGTTCTTGTCACCCTAGGAGTGTTATTAGAAATACACCGTCTTGGGCCGGATCGGATTGTGCCTGAGTGGAAAAGGCAGTGGGCCCCAAGAATCAAACTTGGGAAGACCCCGGGGAGTTGGGGGAAAGCAGGGATGGAGTCTGACGCACATGGTTTGTGGCTGCACTTCAGAAATGGCAATGCTGAGCTCGGAACCTGAGACTCCGGGCTGCGTAAGTGCTTCCAAGTTTGTGAGTTTGGACCCAGAGTTTCGTATTTAATCTCCTCAATCTGACGAGGACTACCATAGATGGTGCTAAATATCTAGATAGATTCTGGTAGGGTCCCCATTGCTACTGTAGCTTTTAGTTGGCCTGGATATCTACTTAGAAAGCTTTTATTTTACTTGGGATAAATGAGAGGAGTGGTGGTTTGACATCTTCCATCCAGAGCTTGGTCCTTCTCGGTGGGGCCTTGCTGTGAGAGCTGGTTTCTGAGAGGCCATGGGCACACAGCTGCTGGGAAGCCTGGCTGTTTTTAGAGAAAGTAGATTCTCAGAATGTGTACTTTCACCCTCTCCTGGGCACTGCTTCCCGACAGTGCTTCCTTGCCTTTCTGTGCTCAGAAGTTTCTCTCCACTTCTCCTAAAACGCCCTCCATTGCTGCTGCTGTTTTACAACTATTGATTTTTCAGATTACCATTACAACAAGTCGGAGAGGTTTTCAAGGCACCCTAGTTGGTGCTGATTTCTATTCTTTAAAAGCCAACTGAAGAAATACAATCATACCTTTGTATTTTGCTTTGTTGGCTTTTCTAGTTGACTGCATCATAAACTAATCTGCCCATTTAACTCTCTTCACCCTCTGGAGTCTGTCCGCCCCAAAGGAAAGCTCCAGGAGGGCACAGGTGGTAGCATTGAAGCAGTTGCATTCTGTTCCATGTAATATCTTCCCTCCTTTTTGGTGTGAGGGGGTTTTATTTTGGAGGGTAAAAATGTACTGGGGAAAAAAAACTTGTGAGGTGGCACTTGCTAAGTGTATTTTCAGGATGCCTCCCCCCTCCCCCCGGCTTTTTAGATAATCATATTGGAAAGACAGCTAGCTCTCCTTTAAAAGACTGTCTTGATAAAGTCAAGTTCATTCAGATGCAGTCTCAACTTTGTTCTATGAATATTGGTTTCTGATTAACAGGGACGTGGAATGTTAAGAGAAAGCACTCTCCATTCTTAACTTGCAAGCCTCTGGAAGACTTTAATCATCATTTCAAAGTGAAAGTGCCTCTAGGGTGGAAGGACTTGAGCAATTAAAAATCTAGTGTTCATTCTGGGTGTGAAAGCATCAGACTATAAGGATGGCAACAGTCGCACAATTTCTGCGTCTCTTTAAAGTGTGCCATTTGTAATGCTCTGTAATATATAAAATTTTTAGCATTTTACCTTCAACTCTACCCCCCCTCGTAATGCTTCTTTCTTAAATTTTATAATTTTTTTTCTTGGGGTCAGTGTAGACAATATAAAAAGTACTTAATTATTTTTTAGATTATTTGAAAGAGTGACTAAGACAGACAGACACACACACACAGAAGTCAGGGTGGGGTAGAGATCAAAAGATCCCACCCATTCAGCTGGCTTACTCTTTGAACACCTGCAACAGCTACAGCTAGGCCAGCTGGAAGCTAGGAGCCAGAAACTCTATCCAGGTCTCTTGCTTGGGTGACAGGAATTCAAGCCCTTGGGCCATCACCCACTTCCTCCTGTGTGCATTAGCAGGAAGCTGGGTTGGAATCTTGGAATAGCCAGGACTTGAACTAGCATTCACATATGGGATGCAGATGTCCCAAGTGGTTGTACAATACCTGCTCCCATGATATTTTAGAAGTTAAAAAAACGGGGAAAACAGAACTCTGAGATATTTTTGAAGGGTTGTTTGGTCCGTACAAAGACCACTGAATTGTAAGTGAAGTTTGTATGATTTGATACCCTGCCTTGGTCTTCTTTTCTCCTGGCTGCTGAAGATACAACCCCCTCTGTTGATTTTCCTCTCTCTGAGGGTTTAGCAGTAATGAGATAAAGGCTCCAAGCACTTCTGAAGAAAGGCAGGGTGGAGTATTGCAGATGGAAAAGTGTTTTTCTTATTTTGTGATCCAGTATAGTTCCTAACTGTTGTACTTTGTCACAAGTTTCTCCATTTTGAGAAATTGGAAGGACTAAGATGTATCTGGTTGGAATGCCATGGTCAGTGCATGCAGCCTTCCTTAATCCTGGTTTCACCTCCTACTAAGTGGAAGAACTTGGGCAAGTGGAAGTTGTGCCATACCACAATTTCCTCAACTAGAACTTGAGATTATAATACTGGTTACCCCTAGAGTTGTTAGGAGTTAATATATGTATTTGTTTAGAATAATGGTGGGGGCCCAGGGACAGGTATTGGTGTAGTGGTTAAGACACCTTTTCGGAGGCCTGTGTCTCCTGTCAGGAACCTGTGTGCACCTCCTGGCTCTGCTCTGGATACCTGTTTCCAGGTGATGTGCATCCTGGGAGGCAGCAAGCGATAGGTCAACTGATTGAGTTCCTGTAACCCATATGGGAGAGCCAGATTGAGTTCCCAGCTCTTGACTTTGGCCTGATCCCAGCCCTAACCATTGTAGGCCTCTAGTGAGTGAATCAATGGACAGAAAATCTCTATTTGCCGTTCCACATAAATAAAATAATAAATAAATAGTGTTGTTTTTTAAGGTGCTATGTTAGTGTTAACAGAGTGAGTGGACTATGTGCCAGTCAATACACTCTTTGTGGAAGTAAAGTCAACTGAAGACACTGAGCTCGGTCTTGGGCATTTCCCTTCTACGTATTTTTCCTAGGAGAGAAAAAGTAATTACAATGATGATCATTATAGTACATCCACTTTGTTATGTTGGATGATGCATGGCAAGGACTAGAAAGAACTTAATCATCTAGTATGGTATCATTTGATCTAAGCCATATATATACATAACACATAAAACAAGGGGAAAAAGCAGAAAGTATTTTATATGAGTTGTAATTCTTGGATTTTTATAGCTCTTGCTTTTGCTTAGCTATGTTCCTGCCAGCATTCTTCACTTCTTTTTTTTGTCATGTTTAGTGTTAACTGAGGCTAGGATTTAAAAGGAAGGAGAGGGACAAACACTGTGGCACAGTGGATTAAACCACAATTTGGGACCCCTGTGTTCCATATTGGAGTGCCCCTTCAATTCCTGGCTACTTTCATGCTTTTTTTTTTTTTTAAGTTTTATTAATTTAATTGAAATTTATAGTTGCAGAAAGAGAAAGAGGGAGAGAAAGAGAAAGAGGGAGAGATAGAGATACTCCATCTGCTGGTTCACTCCTCAAAGAGCCCCAGTGGCCAGAGCTGAGCTAGTCTGAAGCAGGGAGTCAGGAACTTTTCTGGGTTTTCCATGTGAGTATAGGGGCCCAAGGCTTTGGCCCATCCTCGATTGCTTTCCTAGGTCATAAGCAGAAAGCTGGATGGGAAATGGAGCAGCTGGAATTCAAATCAGCACCCATATAGGATGCTGGTTTCACAGGTGGAGGATAAGTTCACTATGCCACTGTGCTGGCCCCAGCTACTCCCATTCTAATCAGGCTTCCTGCTAATGCACCTAGAAATGCAGTGAATGATGGCCCGAGGACTTGAGACCAAAGTTGGAGACCCAAATGGAGTTTCTTATTCCTGGCTTTGGTGTGTCTGAGCTCCAGTGTGGTGGGCTCTTGAGGAGTGAACCAGCAGATAAATACATCCCACTTAATACATAAATACATTTCTCTCACTTTCACTCTGTGTGTGTGTGTGTGTTAAATCTTTTTTTTTTTTTTTTAAAGGAGAAGCACTAGTGCATTTATTGGAAATCAAACATTTCTCTTGGGCTAGAATGCTTACTTAACATAGACTTTTTTTGGGAAATAGATATTAGCAATGTAAAAGGATCATAAAGGGTGACGTTTGGGGAAGGGACAAAAGCTGGGTGAATTGTGGGTGGAAGTGGAGTTGCTGTGCTGCCTAGTAGTTACTTGATCTGCCTGTGCAGTTCACAGAAAGAGAAGGCGCTGAAATTGGACTTCCTAAAACCCTCTTTTCCCACGTGTACCAAAACCTTTTTACCTCTTCCTCTTAGGGAAATAGCATACTGTAATCAAAAACAGGCATAAAAGCACTTAAATCATACTTGGGCTCTTATTGTAGTGTACGCTCTTGGTAGCTTTGTGACTTGGGACTGGTTTCTTAGGCTATTTGAAGCTTGGATTCTTCATATATAAAACAAGAATGATATACAGAGCCATATTCTGTGTGATTCCATTT